TGCACTTGTGCGCGGCACCATTCTCTGCCATTAAATTGGCAAGTGCATGCAGGACATTTATTGTGTTATTAAGTAATAAGCCTTTAGAACAACATTAAGGTGAGTAGTCACTGTAGTTCACACAGTTCCAATAAATTGTGATGGGTTAAATAAACTCAATATAAACTCAATAAGCACAGACGCGACTACAGTCAAGCGCAGACCAGTATTGAAGTGCACAGGAAATAAGCAGCAGTCATATTTAAAGCAGTTTACATTAATATTGAGTACTGATTGATGTTCACTTGGATTTTTTCCCCATCGAGGGGAAATAACTTAATACTCTGTCATTTATAGCCGTATGGTAAAATGTATATTTTTACTTGTGTAACGTTACATTCAAAATAACAACAAAATGTCATGCCTTTGAAAAATAAAGAGAACAAAGAATGCGCCGCTTTAGCGCGTCTCGGTCTCCTTGAGCATCTTTCCGGCGCATGCCACAAACATGAACCACAGCGAATACTTGTCTTTTAAAGAGGCTTCATTTAGATTATTTGACATTAAATGCATCATATAAGTCACTTTGGAATAAATCACAGCAGGCCTATGTATATGATACAAATTTTTTGGGGTGAACTAACCCTTTAAGCGTTTTAGAATTTCCCTTTCCTAGCCTTAAATAAATGATAATGAAAAGTTGTAGTTGTCTGGGTGATGTTAAACACGCGGAGGAACATTTGCTCGACTGCTGGCACTCGCTGTCATTATGCGACGGCGTATGGCGTGCTGCCACGCTTGTGACTTTGAGCGGCACATTGGAGCCATGTTGCTGTCTATTCAGGGCTCGGTCTCTGCGAGCAGCCAACAGGACTCTGAGATTTATTAAATAAAGCCCGTGTGAAAGGTCCTCGAGTGCACAGACGCGGCTGGACGTCTGTTTTCCCAGCGGGCCTGATCTGAATGCTTATTGATCGGCTCTTCTCTGTGGCTGGTGTTTGTGAGGCAGAGGACAGCTGGGATGGTTAAGGTATAGTTTAGCTTCTTAATGAGTCACTGGTAATTAGTGCAGCTGTAGTTATTACTTCTGACTTTAATGACTCTTGACAGAGAGCTCAGGGGCTTCAGGTCCAAGATAAATGCTCCCAGATCAGCCTGTAGGACATCTATCTATCCATCCATCCATCCATCCATCCATCCATCCATCTATCTATCTATCTATCCATCCGTCTGTTCTTCTTCTGTCTATCTGACTATCTATCTGTCTGTCTATTTCTCCATCTGTCTATCCATCTATCCAATTATGTCTATCCATCTATCTACCCTACTATCCATTTATCTATCTGACTATCCATCCAACTATTTCTGACTATCTATTGATCCATCTAACCTATTCGTCTATCCAAGTATCTATCAATCTGTCTATCTACTCAACTATCATCTATCTATTCATCCATCCATCCGTCTGTCTGTCTGTCTGTCTGTCTGTCTGTCTGTCTGTCTATCTATCACGCTGCAGGACACACTGAAGTTTGTTTTCAAACAGTTCATACTGCACTAGTGATTAACGTCTCTAATTAGAACTCATTGTTAGCACTTACTATCACTCATGTTTGTTTGTGATCATTATTTATAAATTGGGATTAGGAAGGATTATGGAAAGATGACAATCTGCATACGTGAAGAAACTGCACAACAGCTGTGTCTTTCTCCCTCTGCTTTTAGAAACAGTCCCGATTAATCCCGATCCCAGACACTCAGCGGCTGAAACAAACAGCATGTAACGAGGCACAAACCTCGAGTACTAAACACATCCAAACGCCCGAGTGGAGCAGAATTCCTCTGCTGAGATTTACGAGCAAATGTCACCTCTGCCAACGCAAAGAAAAGAGGAAAAGAACAGAATTCCTGTCCATTAGTGACAAACCTACAAACAATCCAGCAGAACTGAAAGTACAGTTCTTCCTGTTCCCACAAAACAAACCAACTTCTGTTCAGTCTTTAGAATATAGATTCAATTTAGATAAAGATCAACACGAGCTTTGCGATTAAAGTCTCTAAATGACACACACATGCAAAACTGCTATTGGTATCTACTAAAATAACCACTTCATTATAAAGCAATCAAAACCTGCTGACAGAAAACACACTGTTAATGTCCAACCCTTTGATTCCTCTTATATAAGATGAGCTCTGAGCAGAGGAATTCCAGCTATTGCTGAAGTCGTTTTCTGATGATTTTAGTAGGTAATAATTTATTCTGAAACCATATTTCTGAAAAATAAATGAGGTCAGGACGTTTGTTCACAGCTCAGTGGTTTCTGGTATCCGTGACCGTGATCTCTGGCATTCCTGTCAGGACATTAGAAAGGACAAAGATCAGGAATGTCACATTCTTCCAAGATGAGGCCACTGCAAAATCCCTGTGATGTCAGTGAACAGTCAAGCCTTTGATGTTACAATCTATGCAATAAATACTTAAATAATATTTTTTAATTATACATAACACACACATGCAAAAAAAAAAATTCTGGGTAAAACTTTATTATTTTATACATAATATATAAAATATGTAGTAGTATTATATATAAATACTATTTAATATATCATATTCAAATATCATATAATGTATGTGTATATTAGTGTATACTTTTTATTTGACTCAGAAATATGATGTTGAATGTGTGTGTATATAAATTATTATTATTACTATATTGCTACATATATACACACATACATTCCAAGTCAAGCAAAAAAATATATATGCACAAATATACATACACACAAATTAAAACATTTATATATAAATAATATTATAAATATTTTATATTATATATAAAATAATAGTTATGCATAATGAAAATGAAATGAATATATTTATTGCATACTAAAATTGTATATTATTATTATTATAATTATTAATGTAATTTTTTTTTTTATGATATATGATCATTTGATTATATAAATAGACATATATTGTCATTATATAGGCCATTTAGGGTAACAGCTTATGGTTGCCTGATATAATCTCCCCTGTGATGATGGTTTTACACAGAAAATGCTCAACTAAAATGAAAACATCATCAAGAATGAACTGTTATACACCTTTAGACACATTCCTGAAAACTATGACTCAGTGTGAATGTATGAAGCCTCGTTCGCTGAGTTCACACTGAGCTCCAGAGTTCATCATCCAGGAGAACCGATGAAAACATGACGCCTACTCTTGTTCCTACATTTTTTTCATTTTAATTAGCTTATTTAATAATGCATAATAATAATCGCACAGACAATAGTGTTGGTTTAATCTAATGAAGACGGCACAAAATAAGCAGAGGGACCGTGAAATGGCACACGAGTGAAATTTGAGCAAAATTGCAACAAAGTCTCCAGAGTTACGCATCAGATCTCTTCATTTACAATCGGTGCACACCAGCTTGTGATGGCATTGAATGAGACATAAACTGGTCATTTGAGCAGCAAAACACTGACCCCTCCTGGTCAATCTGTGTCATGTAGTCCAGAGGACTGTATTAGAGCCCTGCAAGGGCCTCAAATATAGGCCCTAGCCCGGCCCTGTAAACAAATGAACTACACTGCAAAATATGATCCTCTTACTTAGTATTTTTGTCTTGTTTTCTAGTATCACACTCATGGTCTTCGCGGTCAAAAGTGACCGGACACCTGAAATGTAAAATGTTTTTTCTTCATTAAAATCAATCTAATATATTTTTGTTCAATAATATTTTTTCTTTTGTATTTTGAGAGAATTTCATGATAGAGATAGCTTGTCCGACAGCTTATCAGAATTACCATAATTACCCGTCTTTTTTTCCCCCTTCTCCCAAAACAGCTTATACTACTGTTTCAGCTATTAAAATAGTTCAGTTTTGTATGTAATGGCAAAGTGATTATATTTTGTTTCGTTTCTTACTAAAATAATTTAGAAAAACGTTTGGAGCATTTTTTGTTCGTTACAATTATTTTTTTTTTTAAGTAACGACCAAGTGGCCAGCGGCAGACAGTGAGCCTATGTTTGAAATCAAACATGATGCGCTTTCTGCCGTCTCGGTCTTCAACAGGAGCGCTTCACAAAAATGAACCGAAACTCAGCGAATACATGCCTCACAGACATGATAAATATATCTATAGGAAGCTTTAAATTACTACTTAACGAAATAAAACAAGCCAAAAACAAAAACTCTTTCATTATAATCATAATCCGTAAAGATGCACTTCTCTCTAAAGGCGCGTCTAATGAGGAGATGGCGAGTCAGGATCGTCGTCTTCATCCTTGCGACACCGACTCAGAAAACACTAGTTTATTAGTAAATAATTCATATATCTTCTTACTATTTCCACCTGACACATTCATGGTGATTACTTTTGCCGGTGCTTTGCAACAAGCTTTAGCCTATTTCCTTATATCTTATTTTGTTCAGATTACTCGTTATTGTGTTTTAGCTTGATTTTTATGTGCAATCATGTATCAATCATTCTACTTTTTTATCTCTTCTTCTTTGTTGGTTGTCATATGTGTCTAAGATGCTCTGTTTTGTTTTTAGGGTGACTTTTTAACATTCTGTCAAGGGTCTTCAGATGAAAAATAGCCTCTTTGGGTAATTCTGGCACATTTACAGCCATGTTTATTAATGTGCGTTGCCCCTGTAAACAAATGAACTACACTGCAAAATATGATCCTCTTACTTAGTATTTTTGTCTTGTTTTCTAGTATCACACTCATGGTCTTCGCAGTCAAAAGTGACCGGACACCTGAAATGTAACGTTTTTTTTCTTCATTAAAATCAATCTAATATATTTTTGTTCAATAATATTTTTTCTTTTGTATTTTGAGAGAATTTCATGATACTAATTAATATTTATGCAATAATTATGATACATTTTTCCCACTGAAAATAGTACAAAAATTTTTTTTTTCAAATTTTTTACAATTATTTTTCAATTACTGCAGTATTTCATATTAAAATATAGACTAGGCCATTAAAATCAAATTTTTGAAGGCAGAATAGCACCTCCTGGTGACAGCGATCGAGCCAAACACCAGCGAACACACGTCGACACAGTGAGTGGAGCCCAAAAACCTCATTTTACACACTTTATCACTCCCACGCAACCAGTGTTGGGGAAAGTTACTTTTAAAAGTAATGCGGGAATACTGAGTCTGTTTTTTTTTATTTTTTTGTGAGTGAGATTAATTAATGCATATTCATATTTATTTTAGAGCTACAGTAACATCTTCTGATTTCTGTCACCATGGTAACACCAGAGCTGTCAATCAATAAATTAGAAACAAAGTAACTTGCGTTACTTATTTGAAAAAGTAACTCAGATATTCTCTTGTAAATTAAAAAGTAATGCGTTACTTTACTAGTTACTTGAAAAAAGTAATCTGATTACGTAACTCGCGTTACTTGTAATGCATTACCCCCAACACTGCACGCAACACACCTGCAAACAAGAGTCACAGGCGTGTGCACTAACAGGTTGTGTTTCTGCAGAAACCCTACGCTTGTCAGATCCAGGGCTGCGCAAAACGCTACACAGACCCCAGCTCTCTGCGCAAACACCTCAAATCACACTCCTTAAAGGAGCAACAAGCCCGGAAGAAGGTACGAGAATCATCTGATCCGACTAAAGCAGAAGAAGAAAGTCTTAGTTCTGCTATCAGTTATTCATCCTCATCTTTCCAAACTCTGATGCTGATCTGTTTTTTCATGCACCACAAAAAGAAAAATTTTAATTCACTTTATTTTCTATTATTTGACTTCAGAAGGTGCACTAACGGTCAAAAGTTTGGAACAATTAAGATTGTTTAAAGACGTCTCTTCTGCTCACCGAGGCTGCATTTATTCAAAAATGCAATAAAAATTGTGAAATATTATTACAATTTGAAATAAGTGTTTTCTATGTGAATATCTGTTAAACTGTAATTTATTTCTGTGATGTGCAGCTGTATTTTCAGCATCATTACTCCAGTCTTCAGTGTCACATGATCTTCAGAAATCATTCTAATATGCTGCTCAAGAAACATTTCTGATTATTATCAATGTTGAAAACAGTAATACACAACCATAAGTTGTGATAAGTAAAAAAAAAGAGGTAAAGTGACAGTAAAGACATTTATAATGTTACAAAAGATTTCGTTAACACTTTCTATGAAGCCCATATTTATAACACATTATAAGGGTATTCTTAAGGCATTATAATGAATGCATAATGCATTATAAAAGACCTTATAATATGTTATATCATCTTATGAATAATCATAACAACAATTATAATACATTATAATGCTTACGCATTTGTGGTTATAAGTATTAAGATTATGATTATTTATAACACACAATGAACACCATATAAAATCTATTTTTACATTTATAATGGACTATATAGCTTGACTTTGTTTATTTAAGATCTGCACTAAGTGGTTAGGTGTGGAGTGTTATTTGAGTGTTCCCTGTGAGGCTAATATTAATTTTGATGTGAGCTAGTTAATAATTTCAACTGAAAAAAAATATGCAATGTTTATATGTTAGGTAACATTTTATTTTCATGGTCCCCCTAGTCTAT